CATACACTGCTACTTTTAAGCTCCGCTCATACACTGCTACTTTTAAGCTCCGCTCAGACAGGAAGCTGGAGATCTAAGTGCACAGCCCTTTTGGAAGCCCGTAAGATGGTAGCTTCGATAGAAGTGCCTTGTGCCAGAGCCGATCAAAAGCATGTGTGCGTCTCCCGAGAAGTGTGGCTACAGAGTTAAGGGTCTTGAGCATTCAAAAGCCCTGATAGCTGCCTACAGTGCCAAACACTGTAGAGAAGCTCTGTCATTGGACAGGAATGGCATCAGAATGCTCACTAGAGTTTTAACAGGACATGAACAAGCACATGTTAAATATTGGGCAGAGAGAGAATAGAGAGTGTAGATTCTGCCATGAGGCAGATAAAACTCCTGCTTATCTTCTCACCCAATATTACCCCTTGATGGGCGTACGAAGCTCCATACTGGGAAGGCACATGTTACAACCAGAGGACATTAAATCTGTCAGAGCCAGGAAAGTCCTTCAGTTCTTCAATGCTTTCGGCCTTGGCTCCGAACTGTAATTAGTGGTGATCACAATATTATTATTATCAATTAATACACTAGCAGCTCTGCGAGCTGATGCGTGTATATCACTGCACTTGTATATTATTCGTTTCCAAAATGTTTATCAAGTCTAGCTTTGAAACTGTTCACTGTCTGTGCACTAATAACAGTTTCTGGGAGCGAATTCCACAAGTTCACAACGCGAAATGGTAAGAAGTGTTTTCTAGGGTTGCTAGCACACGGAGGCATGTTTAACTTTAGAGAGTGGCCTCTCAATTGATGATTATGATTCAATATGTACATATCTTGCATATTGCGCACATTGTAGTACCCATTGAGTATTTTGTAAGTCTCTATGAGATCTCCTCGGTTCCTTCGCTGCTCCAAAGTAGTTAACTTTAGTTCATGGAGGCGCTCTTCGTAAGATAAGTTTTTTAAAGACTGAACCATTTTCGTTGCTCTCCTTTGTACTTTCTCCAACATAAGAATGTCCTTTTTGAAATAAGGACACCAAATTTGAAAAGCATATTCCAATAATGGACGTATATATGTTTTGTATATTTGGATAAATAACTCCTTAGTAATATTGTAAAATGCTTTTCTTATCATGTACATCATAGAATTAGCTCTTCTGGTTATGGTTATGATGTGTACGTCCCATTTAAGGTTACTGGTTATTGTAACACCAAGATCTTTTTGTGCATTAACAGCCTGAAGAGTTATGTTATCCACAGTATAACCAAGTTTCGGATTACTATTTCCTATATGCAATACTGTACACTTTGTAGCATTCAATGAAAGAAGCCAGAGTTTTGTCCATTGTACAATGCGGTCCAAATCCTGTTGTATGGTATTGTGAGCTATTAGAGGGTTTCCTATAAGCTTGGTATCATCTGCATATATTGACAGGTCTGACTGAATGACATTCTTTAAGTCTGTGATGAAGATAACAAACAGAATTGGCCCAAGGACCGATCCTTGTGGGACGCCACTGTGAACGTCAAAATCATCTGACAGAGTATCACCTACTCTTACTTTAAACTTTCTGTCACTTAGGAAGTTCTCAATCCACTTTAGGAGCTGTCCACGGATTCCAAGGTGACTGAGTTTCGCAATTAGCCTTTTAATAGGGACTTGGTCAAATGCCTTCTCAAAGTCTAGATATATCACATCAGTAGGGTGGCGCTTATCCCAGTTGTGTGTCCATTTGTCAAGGCACGTGAGAAGATTCGTAACTGTAGATCTCTTTGGTACGAAGCCATGCTGTTCATCTACGATAATGTTCTCCACATTGATAAAAGTTCTTAGCTCAGCTGCCACAATCTTCTCCACAACTTTACAAACAATGCTCGTCAAACTTATGGGACGGTAATTAACAGCAACATACTTGTCACCTTTTTTATATATGGGAGTAACATGTGCCTTTTTCCATTGTTGTGGTAATCGTCCATTAGTAAATGATAAATTCATAATGTGCGCTAACTGCTGGCTTAAAACATTGCTACATTTTTTTAATAATATTGCCGGCAAGGCATCTGGTCCCATAGCAGTAGAGTCATTGAAAGTTTTTAAAGCTTTGGCTACTTTCTCTGGTGTGAAGGTCAGCAGTTCTATTGTATTTACTACTCTTGGCATTTGTACTTCTGGGATTGACACATTTGAGGGTTCTATTACAAAAGATTTTTCGAATTGACGAGCAAATAAGTTGGCGAATATCTTTTGGTCACAAGTAATATTTCCACTATCATCTTTTAACAACATGGGAACCGAAACTGTTGAGTGCAATTGTTGTCGTACGTAAGAATAAAATGTTTTAGGTCCACTTTTTACAATCCCTTTTTCAAACTCCATTCTGAGCTTCCGGACTTTATTTACCAATTGGTTATTAACCTTCCTATATGCTTTATATGCAGCTTCAGAACCGTTTTGGGTGTAATGTTTCCACAGATCCATTTTGTGATCGACTTCATCTAATATTTGTTGATTAATCCACGGTTTATTGACATTAGGTCTTTTAAATTTAGTTTTCAAAGGAATGTTTTTTCAATAGCACTATGAATTTTTTGTGAAAAATTTGTCCAGGCATCATCAACATCACTAACTTGAGTATCTATTATGTTTTGTTTGTTTAAGACATCTTCCATTAGTTCCTCATAATTTACTGTAAAAAAGTTTCTTCGGGGCTGTTGGGTACTTGATTTACTGGCCGATTTATCTTCGCACTGTATTGTCGCTACAAGAACTTGATGATCGCTTTTTCCAATATTTGGATAGTGTTCAACACTAGTGCATAAGTTTTGTTCATTACATAGAATGAGATCAAGTAGCGATTCCTCATTATTCCGCTGTCTTGTCACCTTATTTACAAGTTGATACAGGTTACTGTACAATAGATCAACTGGTACTTGGTGCAACGGGCTAGTTTCCGCAACTCGATGTCGAAGCGCCTATTTTGCGTGTGGAATAGATCAACTGTTGGTCGCAGTAATGAGGGGCTACATATGCCCCGAATGAAGCCACCCTAATAATAATAATAATGTACTCTGTTACTGCATCTCCAAATTAGGCGTTTATAGAATCGCTACATTGCGTCACTGTAGCGCTGCAGCCGTGCCACTACGAAAAAGTAATAAGAGAGTGTCGTTTAGTGAAAGATTATGTGGTCCAGTAGAAAGGATGGATGTTAGTAGATGTAAACGTGGGAAGACAGAGACCCTCAATGCACATGTCACAATCAAATCTTGTAAAAGTAAGGAATGTCACGCCGTGCGGGGAGGCTCCTGTCGTGTGCCTCTGATTGTTACTGGTCAAAGAAGAAGAGCTTTTGATTATTGAAAACAAAATACATTGACAAAAATAAAACTACTGTTACTTGGTTTAATACATGATCACTAGGAAAATGTGATTTCTCAGTGTTTTCATGGATTAAGTGACACTTTATATGAACTTTTCCGTATTTAGCAAAAATGTGATATCCACCCTTGACACATAAAGTAATAATTTTATTGATATATTAAATTATGCATAAACCATTTTCTTTTAATTACTAATTGTAAGTTCAAAAATAATAAACTGATCGTAATTCTTACTTCATTATAAATCTTTTGATATATAATTGTCCTGTAAACTTCATTAATTAAATGAGTAATGACAAATAGTTGCCAAAAATCTTTAATGCTCAATATCTCAAAACTGTCAAATTGTAGGTTAACTTATTTATGCAGAACACGGCCCAAATATTACCAGCAGTGACTTCAGCCTTGACCCTCGCTTTTTTCCCCTCAGAGCCATGAAACTGTGTTTCTTTCTTCCCCCAGCCAACTGTGATAAATTGCTTCTCCCCAAATTCTTGGCTGGCCAGCTCCATCTCATGGATTGGGTCAAATGTACATGACATCACAATAGACTTCATGTCTTTTGTCACTAGCACTAGAAGCTCTTCATCTGGACTCCATTGCATAGCCTGAAATTGAAAAGTAAGTAAATGATTATAATTAATGTACAGTCAACAGCACATCAAGCAATGCATTTTGATTCGAATATTGCAACCTCGAATGCAACGGAAGAAGATATGTCAATTCGTAGTTTGATGTGCTGCCGTCTGTAGTTACATCTAGTAATGCAATAAAATGTTTCAATATCGAAGAAATTATAAGAAAGCGACTGTTGAAGATGATGAGAAATAAGATGATAGTTTGTTACAATACACCTAATTTGCACATTAGCCAAGAATAACATTTATATTGCAAACTCTTGTTGTGTCATAAATTGATAATACAAAAATAACGTGATTGATATTTTTGCAGGCATAAGCACCCACCCGTATGCCGCTATCGCAGACGCCAACTAAGTCCGACTCGCCAGAACCACCAATAGTAAACAACTCCCCATTCCGGAGGCCGACGCATACTGCGCCTGTCAGAGGCAAAAACGTTATGTCTACAGCCTTATTATCTGGAGACGATAACTCTGATAGGTTTTCGGTCCATTTCTCCACTCCATTCTCACTAAAACACCTCACAATTAGGTTATGTGAACAAGCATATAGTTCCTTCTCGTTTCCTTCAACGTGGCCATATGCAAACAGCGAATCATCATCACCATTGAGGTTTATATTTTTTATGCTAACGTCCCACAAATTTAAATTCTTCATTTTTTAAAATTACGAAATAAGTAAGAAAACCATGCAAGCTTGTCAAGCTAACCATAACGTTTTGTTAGATGTCACTGTCACCTAAAAAAAAAATTAATATTCTTATTTTTAAATTTGTTGAGCATTGGCTGTAGGGGCATCAGCTTAAACAAGCAACAAACAATAAGAAACTCAAAACGTAATAATGCATAAACTAAAAAAAGAATTTGTGAAAAGACGGTAATTACAAAAACCCCCAATGTTCATAACATCTTAGACTATGGAAACTAAAAGACATGTCATATTGACATATATAACTCAGACGTTATATGTATATGGTGTATTTCGACCTTAGAGGATGGAAAAAAATAAAAGAAAGGAGCTGCCCTAAGTACAGAATCAACGTGCATATTACCAAAATTTGAAAGTTACAAATGGCGGATTTCTTTAGTGTTGTACCATAATCTATCGATAAGTCATTATCGACATGAAAACGTATGGCTTGAATTTTTGTTTCTTTAGTTTACTGTAACCAAAGTATGCCTAAACAAACACAAGTCTGATAATTTAATCTCGAGTGGTATATTATTATAAATGTCAACACACATTTTTAAACTTCAAAAAAAAATTATTTTCAACATTACAACTGGTAACTTATTTAGTAAAAGTCACCAAACTGCTGTGCAGTTTGTTGGCGACATGCGCATTCTTGCTTAATTATACCTACTTTACTTGTATTTAACATTACGTAGTATTAATTGTACTTACTAAATAAAATATAAAAATTACTTTAAGAGGTACGCCTTTAACCTATGTACATTTTAGTACATATTTACATAACGTCTTTTAACTAACCGTCAAGTACAAGTCTATTCAGGTTTCTGCGGATTCTAGTATTCCCGTTAATTCCCGGGCTTTCTTAAGCAAATGAATCTATCAAGCAATTTTAACACAGAAATAATGGAAGTAGTTGTAAAAATCAATTATCGGAAATCAACAATTATCATGTACTAGCTTTTCCCCACGATAAAATCCCCGCAATAAAGTTGCAAAAAAGAAATGACAAAAACGAACGTGGTGGATGCTGATTATTCCAGAAACAGAACAACATGACATTTTGTTGATATATAATATATACTTCTTTATTTTGTGTTTTGATTTTTTTTTGAATAGAGTTATAAAACCAGTATGCATTTCATATGCGGACGGACTAACGTGTGAACGCTATTGGTCGAGCGCCTTTGGTTTGTGATAAGCCGAATGAACTCTATACACGTTGGCGCTCGCCTTCACTCGGTCAGCTAGGCGAGTGACACCGAACAAGGCAAGGCAAGGCAAATAGGCTGTCTATACGTTGGTATGTTGTCATTGTATTGCAGGCTTTAAAAAAATAGTCATTTTTAATAGTTAGAGTTGTCATTGGGAAAAATCAGAAACGAGTGGATAATTTTGTTTTCAGGAACTGAGAATAGCTAGTAAATGAGTCTTGTTTAATCTAAATTGAACATAAAATTATTTACCAATAAACCTAATGATGGTATTCCATCATTTGGTCATGTAATCTAGTTACATTTAAAGTTGTTAAAATTTGACTCTTCAAAATGAAGATGGTCTTTGATCCAACGTTTATATTCGGCAGTCCTATGATTTCCAACCATTCTTTCTTCCTTTTTTCATTTGTAGGAAAACTTGAAATAATAATAATAAAACAATAAAAACCTCATAGTGAATTGTTTTAATAACAGAATATCGATATTATGTATGCTTACAAGATCAACACTATCTCAAAATAATCGTTAACAACAATCATCAAAATATACAAACAAACAGGCAATCTAAAGTAACAAAAGCAAAATTTGGCAAGATTTATAAATGAACTACTTAAATAAGTCTAATTACATAAAATATTCGGGCTATTGTGTGATTTATAGACAAAAAAATAACACATGCCTGTGTATTGTAACATTCGATTGATTTGCAGTTTTTCTAAAGCCGCATCCTTTAATGCTGCAGCGTCGCATTTTTATTAATACCTAATTATTCTCACTGTCAATATTTTTGTCCAATTTAATTATAATACATGTGAATAATTCAATAATACATTTGGAAAAACATTGTTTTGACATTTGATGTACTTCCCTTTGACAACGGTATCATGTACCTCATGTACTTGAAATGGCCACGGTTGGCATTTAAAATGACGTTACGAATTTTCGATTCCCGTGTTTGACACAGACCAATGTAATGCTATCTCTTTTGGCTTAAGACGGCACGTAATAGTTAAACAAAGACAATAATATGTTTATGTTTTCGACGTCGAAATGCATCATATACATATAACGTCTGATTTATATATGTCAACGTAACATGTCCTTTAGTTTCCATAGTCTAAGATTTCGACGTTCAAAACATAAACATTTTATTGTCTTTGTTTAACTACTGCATGCCATCGTAAGCCAAAAGAGATACACTACATTGATTCATGTCAAACACGGGAATCGAAAATACGTAACGTAATCTTAAATGCCCACTGTCCTCATTTTGTCATTTTTGGAGTACATCCTTAAACCGGGTCCAGACGAGTGTAACGTGTAATGTAAGATTACGTGTAATTTAGCGTCAACAGTGTGGACGGCACACGAACTCAAAGCGAATTGTGTACGCGAAACGATTTTAAAAAAAGCTGTTTCCACTCAGTCACTACGAACATGCCGAACAGGGAGGTCGTGATAGCTGGTGCGGTTTTTATTTTCATGTATTTACTAACTGAAGACCGGAAACGTCGGAAGCGTCGATGGTGGAAAACTGAATTGTATAAAAGAAGATCTTCTTTACTTGTGGACTAAAATCTCAGCATATAAGTGGTCAATATAAAAACTTTACCCGGATGTCGCCTACTGACTTCGAATATTTGTTAACAATAATTGCGCCTAAAATATCAAGACAAGACACTATAATGAGATCTGCGATTTCGCCGCAAGATAGACTGGCTCTAACACTAAGATTTTTGGCAACAGGAGATTCATATACAAGCCTTCAATACACCTTCAGAATTTCAAAACAGTCAATTTCTTGCATTGTACCAGAAGTTTGTGAAGCGATTATAGAAGCATTGAAAGAAAACATTAAAGTGAGTTTTACATATTTTTATTTATTTATTAAAATAACAAATTAAGGTATTGTTTTCGCCTTTACCTACCTAATAGTAGGGTAAGCGAAATTAAAATTATAATTAGAAGTCAAATTATGTAGATAGAACAAAACATTTTTTTTTTCAAATCAGGTCATTCACAAAATCTACATCTTCATATGAGTTTTGGGATGATTCTGAGGGAACAGGTGAAGCATATGGAGCAGTTGTGTAACTTGTCTGATTCTGACTTGTTGAATACCCTGAAGTATATGGTTCTGAGCGATTAGATAAAGAAGGTGGTTCATTGCAGTATCTTGATGAAGGAGCCGAGCCTGTTGTATATCCACTGTAATTGAATTGAGAATTGAATGCCGATGGATTATAATGTTGAGAAAAGTTAGTGCATCCTTCATC